TAAAGAGGGAAATGGATGAAGCATTTCTCCTGGAATTTTAAGCATTTCTGCTGGAAAGAATCCGTATCTGCTAGAAAATCCTGTATAAGAGAGAAAATAAAATAATCCATTTCTCTTTGAATAAATTTCATTTCTCTTTATAAATAGACAAATGGATTAAAATTAATTGTCCATTTCTCTACACTTTATTTCCATTTCTCCTTATAACTGGAGATATGGATGAAGGATTTCCTCTTCAAAGTAACCGTTTCTTATGGCGTATAGTGAAGTATTGATTTGTATTGGAGGGGAACTCGATGTTGAAAGAAGAATTTCTGCTTAACTTTTTGAGGTTAAACCATTTCTCCTAGAACTGGAACGGTTTCTCTATGAAGTGGGGAAATGGTCCACCCCTCAACTGAGTATGTTCATAAGATCTCAACTGCGTTATACAGAAATGATCTCCGATTTCGACGAAACTTTCTGTGTTTGTAGAGCTTTTAATTTTGAGTATTTTGATAAAAAAATATTTTGAATTCACTTTTGTTTTGATCAAAATACACTCAAAATACTGTAAGCAGTAAAAACTCAAAATTCCTGGGAAAATTTTTTTTCAGAGTTTTTGGGTTTTTACTGCTTACGGTATTTTGAGTGTATTTTGATCAAAACAAAAGTGAATTCAAAATATTTTTTTATCAAAATACTCAAAATTAAAAGCTCTACAAACACAGAAAGTTTCGTCGAAATCGAAGATCATTTTTATATAATGGGGTTGAGACCTTGTGAACATACTCAGTGATAAAATTAAAAACGTTCGATCTCCTTGGCAACAAGCCATAAGCACAAACCCTTTTTATGGTAAACATAGGTCACTAAGATCTACAAGATGTACTAAGTCCCAGCCGAAAAGCGTTCGGGCACCTGGGAATGTTTCCTGGTAAGTCTTCAGAAAAATTATCGCAACAAAATATGTTGTCTTCTACGAATCCATTGAGTTCAGCTTGTGGGTGTGGGTGTAATACTCTCTCCAATCACAACTTCTTCCGCACCTTCTAAAAGTTTCTATCTATGACAAATCATCAATTTAGCACGCAACAGTGTCATTATATTCGTTTTTCTTATCATCGAACAGTTATTGTTGTGTTATGAGATAACTTACAATGTTGCCAAACATTTGATGTTCTGACAAAAAATTTTCTTTCTTTTCTGTGCTTTAGGTTCTTTTTGTTTGGTGCTTCTATTCGCTTGCTGCATATACAGGTGTGACACCAACATCTTAATGGATATAAAGGGACCAAAGTACACAAACAAAAATGGATATTTATTACCGTTTGATATTCCATGTGATGCACTTGATTCTGCTTTGGAATTTCATCCTAAATCGAACACGATTTTGATTTGTAGTTACCCGAAATGTGGAACAACATGGATGCAAAATATTGTGTATTTACTACTGCATGTTGGGGAACCATTTCCATCTTATTTAAATGTTGATGACGAAATGCCACACTTGGAATTTAAGGGTAGCACATATTGTGAGAATTATACTATGGTGCAAACACATTTACCGCTAAATATGTTGCATTGGAATGAGCAAGCTAAGTACATCGTAGTGGTACGAAACCCCAAAGATTGTTGTGTTTCTTTCTTTCATCATACACGTGGTTTTGTGCAACACTATGATTATGCACATGGCACATTTGATGATTACTTTCCACGTTTTCTCAATGGACAGGTTGATGGTGGCAATTATTTCGATTATTTTTCATCATGGCAATCTCGACTCAACGATCGAAATGTTTTCTTCTGTACGTATGAACAACTCATATGTGACAGAAAAGAAATCGTGAGACGACTTGCTATATTCCTCGAAATTAAAATCGATGATAGTATTTTGGAAAAAGTGCTTCACCACTCTTCGTTTCAATCGATGAAAAAAGATCCTCATCGCTGGAGCAGTGAGCGACCTAGGGATATGCCAGCATTTATTAGACGAGGCGAGATTGGTGATTGGCGCAATCATTTTAATGAAGAACAATCCAAACTTATCGATATGAAAGTTGAACAATTTCCTTTAATGAAGACACTATGGGCAAAGTATATGTAATACATTTAATCTGGTTTTATATTCAATCTCGCTTGCTAGCATTAAAATAAGAAAATAAATCAATAATCATCATCTCTGAACATAAAACTTCCACTTCATGTAGAAGACTGTTCGAGGATGATTGAGTGAGACTAAAGAGTAGCAATGTATCGATATTGAACTCTGACCTGAAAATTTATAGCTTTAGACTTTGTGTTTTCATTCATTTGTGGATTTAAAGTTTTCAAACATTGCCTTCAGAGTTTTTCTACAATTTCGAATGTTCGATTATGTAGTTGAACAAGATTGAAGTTGTCTTTTTAATTTCTAGTGTTAATAAATGGATCCAAATTCCATATGATCAACAATTCGAGTTCAAGCTGCAACGTTCTTTCTTATCAGAAAATAATGCTTTTAAGTTCTTGATGCAGTTTCGAAAGATAGATCACAATAATTGAATTTAGGTGAGGAGCAAACACTTGCAAATAGTGCACTGTCATCACATGCATTTGTTATGGCTGGTCTATTAACTTTTTGGGGACCAAGGACGCATATATACGTCCTCACAACTGAAACAAAAAGGTCCAAGTGCTTTGGATATTTCGAAGTGAAATCATTGTATATTTTATTTCCTTTTCCATCAGAGAGTTCATTGTCGAGGTGTGGGTGTGGGTCAGACATTGGACGTAAATACTTCCGAGTAATTTCTTATTGTAGAAGTAATATTCTTTCATACCTCAACAGCTATATACCTACAGACCTTATTGTACACGTCATATCAGCGACTATAAAACGGTACAATTTCTTTTTCGATTCACATGTCTTATTGTCAAGAAAATAAAACGTACTTAGCATTTTTTTTGCACATTGTAAAATTGGTCGAAATTTTTTAAGTACTTCTTGTTCTTTTTGCAAATAAGACATGAGAATTGAAAAATAAAGTGTACCGTTTTGTAGCCGCCCATGCGACGCGTAAGATAAGGCCTATAGGTATATAGCTGTCCGAGGGTGTGGGTGTGGGTGGCGGTGGCGGTGGGGGTGTGAGTGTGGGTGCGAGCGTAGAGCAGATGGCACAGCGACAGCCATACCTACATCGGCACCCACATACCCACACCCACACCCGTAAATAACAAACCTAATAAAAATCGAATGAGTTCTGATAAAGTATTTTCATCTGTAGTTTTCGAACATGTATCATCGTTATTAACAGATGATAATAATGATGGAAAATCATTTGAGCTATTATCACATGATTCCACAGCTAAAATCCCTAGATGTAAAACAATACACTGTATCTGATTTAACTTACCATCACTTAATTTCAAATCATTGAAAATACTTGAGTAATCCCCATCTGGCAATAAATCGTCTAGAGAAATATCGTCAGTAGAGTTCGTCGAGTTTTCCATCAACACTGGTTACAAGAAAAATAATGTGTTATAGACGAAATTTTACTGAGGAAGAAATGAATTTACAAAGGCGAAATCACTCTTTATAACTACCTTTCTGCCCCACCGTCGGTAACTTTTTTTCATCATTTTCTGTGAGTCATATTAAAACAAATATTGACAGTCAAAAAAGAAAAGTTTGGCTTCTATAGATGGGGGCAGAATATATTGAAGAAAAAATGTGGTCTGATAATTTTATAATAACATGTTGATAACATGTATGTGTAATTAAAAATAGGTGGACATCCTAAAAGAATGTCCAGAAAAAGGAGAAGAGAGAAAGTCAGCGAATAACCTGACATTTCCGAATAGAAGGGAGTTAAACCCATTTGAACCTCCGAACAATTATTAAAACGTCTATGAAATTATCAAGTTAAACTGGTTTTGACTAATATTTTCGAAAGAACAAATTTTCAGAATTCTACAAGGGGTGAATAGCGGAATCCAGGAATCTTGAAGTCCACGATTCCCATTACTTTCTTCAATTCTCTTGGATTTTCTCAGATTCCCTTGGATTCCCTCGGATTTTATAGAATTCCATAGGATTCTCTTCGATTTCGTGGAATTCCATTAGATTCTATAGAATTTTTCATGATTCCAGTGAGCCTCTGAGAACATATTAAAGAACACTTTCTGAACCATAACATTGATTCATGTTAACACCTCGTTTTTATGGCTTTTCATTCGTTTGTGACCCCCGATATATACATGTACACATCGATGACTCGCGAGTTTTGTTACGTTAAATTGTTGTTCGTAAGAACATCCTATATTCGCTATAGGAATCGCATGTTTTCTTCCTTTAGGTATCCATAGATTTAGATAAAATTGATTCTAACAGAGTTCTAAATACAAACTAGCATCAATGAGTTACTTTTATGAATGACTAAATATTGACATACTTCGATGTTAATGATCATGAAATTCATGTAACAGTATTCAAAAATGTTCGAGTCATTTTTTAATTTTACTTGATTGCATTACTCGAGATAGTCTGTCAGCTGATGAACGATCAGTTTTTTTAATTCAATAGTTACAATCCTAACTGTTGGTATAAGCATTTAATGGTATTAGGGGTGTGATTGTGGGTGTGTGGCTGTGAGTGGGTGGGGGTGTGGATGTAAACAAGGCTCACAAGCACACCGATACTGACACACCCACACCCTAATCCAAGCTACCAAGCTGCTATACCATCTTCGTCAGGTTACGATACTTCGTCAAGCGAAGTCTATAGTTTATATAAACCGAGTTCTCAATCTACTGATTCGTACTCATCGAGCTATCATAGTCCATCCAGTTATCCTAGTAATTCACACAAATTCAGTTCAAAGTTTGTTTACTCTGCCCAAGCGAAATCTAAGGCATCAACATATAACACTTCTAAATGGTTTAGTCAGAGTTCTAAAAACAAACATTCATTTGCGGCAAAAAACAATGGACAATCAAATACAAGTTGGACTTTGAAAAAACCCCGTTCCCATTCTGTCATGTCGTACTCAACCCAGTATCCTAATTCAAATTTTCTTCAACTTCTGCCAGTATCAACACAATTTCCAGATCCTAAACTGTTACCTAAGTCAATGAAGAACATGTCCATATCAGATCAAGTAGTCAATTTTTATCCAGTACACAAGAAAGGTCCAAATTATCTCAAATATTGTATTGGATGGCTATCGGATGAGGGAAAACCTTCTAGCATGGGAGACTGTATTTGGCAACACACATCAGGTCCAAATTGGTATTGCACCGAAGTTAATATGGCATTAGCATCAGATTCACCAAAACTAAAATCTTATGGACCATACATCAGACAATTGAAATATTCTATTGCTATGTCACAAATGAAATTCTTTGGTATTGTATCTCGAGGTTAGACCTTTTATAGTTGTCAAAACATTCCACTACAATATGGTCTTTCTTTTGAATAGGTGCAGACATGTCACCAAGTGAAATTCAAGCCTATGAAACGAAAAATATCTTTTTCATTCCAAGTTTCACGTCAACATCGAAGTCAATGCCGTTCAAAGACAAGAACACATTATTTCACATTGACATTACGCCAGAATGGTCAAAATTTTGTATGGAAATTCAACCAAAACATACAAAGTATCTCGGTGAAGAAGAAATATTATTTTCTTGCTACACCCACTATCAATATCAAAGAACAGAGAAGTCTAATGAACAACGAATTATCAAGTTAACTTTAATGAATTATAACAAATACTTTGACTATCGAACAAATACTATCTTAAATTATTATGTTTGACTAGGAAAACATCCTAATCTACACATTGTGCCTAATAATCCTTGCTAATCTAGCACATTATCTATAAGAAAATCTTCAATCACTTACATATATAAGTCACATTTGCAATAAGGGTATGGGTGGATGTGAGTGGAATTATTCTGTTCATCCACACCCATACCCAACTAATACTCACATTCACCCATATATTTTTCAACATTTCATTATAAAAGACAAACAAGGATATGTGGGTATTGTGTGAAAGACAGGAAAAAGAAATATGCTACTTTATGACATTCTGCTGAAGAAGACGAAGAAAATGTAATAGACCGAGTAAATACATTATCATTCAAAAAAAACGTAACATAATTAACAGAGAAATAGAAGTTTACAATTTATAATTGATGAAATGTCTGTTGAAATCGAACAGTCTTTCTACGAGAGAAAAGTATCTAAATACCTTTGCCTCTATTTTCACCTCTGATACATAAGTATTGGATAAATTATATTGATAAGGAGAACATGTTTTTGGATTATTGTAGTGAAATTAAATAAAAAACTATGATCTCTCACGAATTATAGAAGAATTTTATTGCACTGTTTTTACAATAAATCTTTACTGTCTATAATCGAAAATTCCACGATAAGATCGATACGAAGTACAGTATGAAAAAAAATAATAAAATCTTTGCTAGTTTTCTCATAAATAAAATATGAAAAAGGAATCATATATTGCTATATCTTCTAAAATCCATGTAATAAATTTATTCATAAACGATTATTTGAGACTTAAGATAAAAATTTTCTATTATATATCGAAGTGTGAGGCATGAAATGGTAGAATTATAACTTCAGGGGAACCTTCCTCCTTTTCCATACCTAAAACGTTCAAAATTTTCGTTTGTTCTTTTTTTGGTTCTATATGTGCTTTCAAGTGTCTTCTCTCTACTGTTGACATTCCGAGAACTCAACTATAATCCTAACTCAAAAATAAGATTGAAAAGATAAAACGATTGTTGTAGAGGTATAACACAAGTTTTTCAGCAAAAGTCTATAGAATCGCCATCGTTTCTCAAAAAAAATACAAACAATTGAGTTGATTCTTTTCTAAAGATATTCGAAACATTTTAGGATGGTTCTTTCCTTTTTGTTTTTGAAAAATGTTATACCACTGAACTTTTACAGCTCTCACAAAATAAGCACTATCCAAGACTATCCGTTTTTTAGGTGGCTCTTCATGTTTCAGCTTTTTCTTTTAAATGAAACAATATAGAAGGAAAGTGAAATAAGGCAGCCGCTCTAAACACTGTCTAGTATCAATAAGAATCATTTCAGTTCTATATGAAATACTATGACTGAGATCTGAGAGTGACTTAGAGAGCAATTTTTAGTCATTGATAAATTTGGAGTATAAGACAACGTTTATTCTACACATGATGGAAAGCGGAAAAGAGAGTAGTTTCCTTAACGTAGATAGATATACGAGACGCATTTTAACACTTTATTGGAACTGGGTTGACCACTTAACATAGCATTAGTAATTAGATACTGCAGAAAAATTTCCGAAATAGATATATAAAGAACAAAATGCTTAGTAAGAGACGATGAATAGCACAGGAAAATAGTGGTATAACTAATAAGAGAAGAAAGAAATATAACTAGTAACAGATATCATGAACATACAATTCTACAATTTGTTAATAAAAGTTTTAACAACAACAAATGTTTTTATTTACACTTTATTCTTTTTTTCTATTTATTTCATACATTCCAATTTGAACTAAAACTCTTATATCAACTGTAATGTCTCGCTTGAATAATCATAGATTCTGACCAATTTATCTAATCTCTGGTTTATCCACAGACTCAGTTGTGTATTTTTAATTGTTTCAAAAGGTGATAAAATTTATAAGGTATATTTAAAAGTGATTAAAAGTTTCGAATATTTCAGTAGGAGTATTTGTATCATTATCTTGTAGAAAACTTCCACATTTACATATAATATGAAATAATTTATGATTAATAAAACTTTTAATGATTTCTTTAATATCAGCAAAAGTATTATTTGGTTTAAAACAATGAAAAGGGGTTTGGGTGTGGATGCATGG